TAGGGTCCCTGGTGGAGAAAGCATGGAAAGAGAGTTGAGGGTTGAGGAAAGAGCCTTTGAGGATCTGCCATGGTTACAGGGCAGTAATGGAAAGAGGAAACTGAGAAGTCTATCACGGCATCTACTGAGTGCCTGGGAGTGTGAAAAAGGAACAAGTGATCAGTGCCAAAGAGAAATAGAGGCAGACGAGGGCATTTTTTGGGCAATTTTCTTATGAGGGCTTTGGTAGCTTTTGGAGGAGATGTTCTAAAAAGATAGAAGTAGAGGTTTATATCAGGGTCTTGGCAATAAACAGCACACTCAAAGTGGATAATTTGATGAGAGTTTAATAAAGGAATTATACACAGAGGTGTGGGCATGGTTTAAGGCAATCAGCAAGGATGAGGTAGTGAGAGGGGAGATATCTCTGGTCTGAAGGGGCAAGGGAAGGGAGAGGCCACTGGCAGCAGGAGACAGGAGCTGTGTGAACAAGGCCACCTGCCAGCACCTGTAACTGTGATAGAGGGATGTATCTAATCTCACTCCTCACCCTCCTGCTGCCCACCATCTCTTGTCACTGCCTCCTCTTGGCCAAATCCAACAAAACGGTGAAGACCAAAAGAGCTTGTTCATGTGGTCCGTTTCCATGTTTTTCCCAAGACCCAGAGCAGGATGGAGGATGGTTATGGATCTAGAGGGGCGAGGGGACAATATTTAGCAAAAGGTTAGAAAACAAATTGCTGGGAAAGAAAGGAGGGTCATAAGAAAATTGGAGTATTAATCATTTCAAATTAATTCCTTTGAAAAATCCACTTTTACTAGGAGTAAACTTCTGTACCTTAAAAAAATTAATAATTATATTTATCATCTCCTGCTTTGCAAGAATACTATAAAGCCTAAATAGGAGAGATACGAAGATTTTATCTTTCATGAGCAGTCTTTTTCTTTATTGTTGTTAGTCTGCCCTGGCATTCTGCATTCTGTCACTAATGAATCATCTGCTGTCGTTATTAAGAGAACTTATGCCCCAACTGCATATGGTATTCAGAAAGTTTAATTCGAAAGTACTTTTTTTCACATATGAAGTGCCACTATTTTGTCATTAGTGGGCATCTTTTAAATGTGTGGAACGTGAAGGAATTTCTTCTGATTATTCATGGCTTAATTTGGCACATTTATTTACATTGTATGTAAGAAGATGTTGTGACAATAGTAATTGACATTTAATGGGCTTATTTCTCACGTTTAGAAGTGATCACAAGTCTTTGCTCACTTTGGGGAAATGTGTTAGCTCATTATAAGAGTTTTATTAATGCTATGCTAGAAGTGGGTTGATGAGTAGATTCTGTTAGCCCAAAGGTGTTAAAATGCTTTTAAAGATATTACAAATCCAGGGTATCTTTTAGAGTGCAAATAATATCTGAGGTTTGATCATATCGAAATAAAATACAAAGAGGCCAGTGTCCCTGAGACATTTTAGTTACCAGTAACAAACCAACTGAATCTAGATTAAGCTCAAATGGAAATCTGTTTTATACTACTATACATGTACATTTATTACTTCTGTGAGATAACCATGTGGTTATCCCCCAGAAATAATCTGTAGGAATTGTAGGGGAGATTCACAAAAGACCAGAACAAGGAATTTGGAAACTGCCTAAGTACTTTGGCTGCCATTCTCTATGTCCCTCCCTCTGCCTCTCCCTCTGTCTTTCTCCATGTGTCTCTGTCTCTGTCTTTCACGGGCTGGGGGGCTCATCGGGGCTATCAATCTCTCGCGTCTTTCTGAGGTTTCATGATTTCTTTTCTCTGCCAGTGTTTGTTCATCTGCTTCATTCTTCTTTCTACAGGCTGGATTTTTCTGTTTTCTTTCTCTATGGCCTAAATATGGTCTTTATAGCCCATACTTTATGTGTCCTTATCTTAGAAGTATACCACCTGCAGCTGACACTGTCTTTTCCAAGTCTCAGGGATGAAAAAGGGAGAATTATGAACGAGACTGACTTGTTCAGCCTGGGCATTGGATTGGCGCCCTCTAGTCTAATCAGCTCTGCTGGTATTTCTCAGGGCATGTGAGCAAAGTTAGTGCCCCTTAAATAAAGCAAAGAAAATATATACCATTATAATATGTATATATACCTCTTTTCAGGGAACTTGATTGTTTCTTTTAAAACTCCACATGAATTTTGAAAATTTGTAAATAATTACACTCAAGTTCAGCTAGTAAACACAAATCTAGTTCCATACTCTGTAGTGAGTTAACAACACATTAAAGGATTAAAAACCTTTTAAAGTAAATTATTGATTACTTTACAGAATTCTAGTTAATAATTAAATTTGTGGTCATTTGCCTCTTTTATTTCTCATTGGGGGTGCTTTGTATACATACCAGCAAGGATAATTATGACTTAGAAATACCTGTAAAAACCTTTTTTTAATTTCCAGGGAAAGAGGAATGCATTTTAGTTAGATAGAGAGTATCTGGTAGTTCCTAATGTTTGTTCAATATACAGAATAGTATGTTAAAAATAGTATTTT